CCCCCGGGTCCCACCTGTCCGAGTCACAGGTGCAGGGCTGGAGCAAGCCCCGGGCTCGTGTACACAGGTGGCCAGGTCTCAGCCCCAGCCACCCAGACGATGGCCAGTTTCGGACAAGAAGCTTGAGCCCGTACACCCAGCGTGCCTCGTCCTCCACGACCCCTCTGTTCGCTGCCACGGTTCGTGGATGGGGCTTGGGGGGGCCGAGGAGACACAGACCTGCCCGAAGAATCGCTCCCTGTTTCCTTCCTCTGCAAGAGCGAGATGCTCCACCTCAAAACAAGTAGCCGCTTGGTTGAGGTTGCAGCACCGTTGGGCGGCTCAGCGCCAACAGGCCGTTTCAGCAGGGGCTGCAAGTGCCATCCGCATGGGATGGAGCGGGAGCTAAGGGCACCGAGCGCATCCCAGCTGGGGATGGATGGCCGGACATTTAAAAGGGGGAGGAAGAAGATGCAAAACTCAAAGGAAGGAGGATAACTGCATGTTCTTGCCCTGTTTCTCAGTTTGTTCTCCATTCCACCGACCTCGGAATGGAAGATGCTCCATCCAACTGGCTTTCCCAGTTTTGTCGGGAAGAGAAAAGCACCCGAAAACGAGATGAACTGCAGTTGCAGAGATCGGAGGAGCTCTGCTTCTGGAGGTTCAGAGGTTTGGGACTGCGGTTAAGGGACCATTGCCACATATTGAGGGAGTGTTTAGAGCTATAAAGATAACACGTATAAGAGAAGTGATAAGGTCAGATATAAATGCATTATTGGAACTGGTGACAACTCCTCATCTTAATCATTTGGTCTTTAAACACTATCTCCAACCTAATCCACACTCTCTTCAGCCTCATGGATATTATCGCCGATGTGATTTAGGGAATAACGATGAAGAAAAGATCAGGTAGGGTTATATAGAGGATGATCTCTGCTTTAGTGAAGAAGGGGTCTCTCATCCACTTGGTGCTCGCCCCAGAGCCTTTGGGCTGCTTTTGGGAGTACAAACAGCAATGGGCCACACTCAAGGCTGGGCCCTGGGCTGCGTCTATTTTGCAGCCATAAAAAGGTATTAAAAAAAAATAAAAGACTTTTCTTTTTAGCACAAAAGTAGTCTGTGACATTTTAAAAGCTGTTTGCTGTACAACTCTCTGGCTCTAGCTGCCCATCCATCCCTACAAGACATCCGTTCCACCTCCGGCCCACGAATCCAGAAACCCGGGACTGACTGCAGTGTAAAATGTTGTCACTTCGTGGAAGTCAGCATCCACAAAAGTCAGAAAGAGCCCTGGGGAGGTTCAGAAGGAACAAGTCTGCATCGCTTAAGTGAGACAGGAGCCGTGTGGTTTACATCCAGGCTTGACTTAGCGTTAGCGAGGCATTCAGCTTTGCCGTCGTCCACATTCAGCTCAGCCCTGAGAAACTCAGCTCTTCCGTAGACCACCGTGGAAGCTTTCTCATCGTCGTTAATAAAAAGCATTTAATATAGTACGGTAGCAACTGAGTTCCCGGCCAGGATCAGGGCCCCGTTGCACTAAGCACTGCGCAAAGACGGACCAGAAGACAGTCCTGGCCCTAAAGTCCCTACCAGACAGACACAGACCTGCAACCTGTGCTCCCACCTTGTCCTAAATCAGGAGAGCTTGACTGCACTCGATGCAATCACCCTGGGGTATGTGAAATCAGAGCCAGGTGTTTTTTCTAGTTTAGTGGTGGCCTGACTGGAAGTGGTAATAACTTGGAGGAAAAAAGTGACCCCCGGCTGGCTGTCAGCTAATAGCTTCCCCCACAAAATCCCCTTTTGCACATTTCCTTCCGGCCAGGCTCTCCCATACTGCTACCAATGCCCATCGGCACTGTCGTCATGCCTGAAACCATAGCACATGCACTTGAGAAATGCCCACCAGCTTTCCCATCAGTAGCTGGCAATGGCTTAAGTAACCCAGGAGAACAAGTTCTTGGGCAAATGGAGTTGCCAAAAATGTCTCTTAAGCAAACTCCTTCCCCGGTGTGTAAACACCAACGTGCCCGTCTGTGTCGACTGCATGAATTCCAAACACGCAGGAGGCGACGTGTTGAATACAGCTAATAAAAGGATGTGCGGTCAGAGTAGCTGGGTCAGAGCGCTGCTGGAGCTGGGATGGCCCAGGAAATGCATAAGAGGCAATAAAATACAGTTAAAAAAACGCAATGATCCTCCAAGTTGCTGAGTGTTCCTGGTGCCCTAAGGCAGGTGGGGGGGTCACCAAGTCACTGATCTGCTCTGCAGACCCCAAGGGCTTTGCCTATGCCCATCCCCAGGGCTAAGCAGCAGGGAGCTGTGCCAGGGTTGGCATGGGCAACTTCCAGCCATTGCTGTTGGTGCTTCTCCCCTGGCATCCCCAAATCCAACTGCAAAGTGGGCCAGTGGAAGCTATGCCAGGGCCAGGCAGCTGGATGCTGTGTCCACCACGCTGCTGCCACCTCTCTGCTCCTCACCTCCTGGTTTCCCACCAGCTGGCAGCAGTGGCCATGCCCCGTGGCAGAGTGAGGCACTGGGGGAAGCGGCAGCAGCACGGGTGCAGCTCCCACTTGCCTGGCCCAGCACGGGCACAAGGAAATCCCCCTGCTAGCAACTTGCCCCAGAAGCCATGCGGCCCGTGCTGGACTGAGCTCGTGGCTGGAAAAGGTTGCTAGCAGCTGCACTGGGAAGTCAATCAGAACGGAGAGTCCCACACGCCACCGGGTCAGTCCCCAGAAACCTTGATTATTAAAGGTGTCCAATCACCCACCGCTTCTGCAGGCTCCAACCTACAATCAGAAGCATCCTGCTCAGTCTCGAAAGTTTCCAGGCCTTGAGCTTGCAGACAGCTCTTCTCATGTATGTGGTGACACCTACTGACTGGACCCAAATTATAGAAGAAGATGTCATGCCACTTCGTTTAAGAAAATCCTCACTAGAAAAGAGAGACTCTGTTTTTCATGTAAAATGTCACCACCCCCCCAACCGCAATCTCCATGTTCCCTTACGTAGGAAGTAAAACTCTGAATCGTGCCCATCCACCAGCACTCAGAAGGATGAATGGGTTGTAAGTCTTGGGGTAACCCGGCAGTGTCCCGGACAAAAAGGCAACGTTGCATACATGAGAGAAGGTATGGAGAGGGGGTGTTTCTGGACAGTCTTAGTACCTGGAGTTTAGTAACACCACTGATGGTGGCATCCTCCTAGTTCACGACGCTGGTTTTTAAATGTAGGATCGCCGTTTCCAAAGAATCACCCAACTATAAGGGTCCTCAAGAGGTCAGCTAATGTAATGCATCCCTCCTACCCCAGAGAGAGGGTCAGCTAAACCATTCCTGGCAGGGTTCATATAATCGTAGAGGAGTGGGGCTGCAATAGGGATCATCTAGTCCAGGGATCATCCAGTCCTGAGGCAGGACCGTCCCTGCCCAAACCACCCCAGACAAACCCTCTTAGCAAAACTACGCAGTCACCCCTGACACACGTTGTGGAAGCCAGAGGTAGGCGAGTCCTGCTATAGCCTCTCTTTCCCACTTGCCCAATATTTTGCCACGGCATCATATTGCCCATGCCCAATATTTTGCCAGGCCCAAGACATACCCCAGGTAAATCAGGAGTACCACAGCAGCCAGCATTGTGCTGCTGCTAATTTGTTAATATGTGCTCAAGGTTTGTCTAAACTGTGCTTAAAACCCTCCAGTGATGGAGAGTCCACAACCTCTCCGGTGTTTAGCAGACCTTACAGTTTCATATGCTTTCCTTCGGGTCCGATCGACATCACCGTTGCTACACTTTAAGCCAAATATTTCTCATCCGATATCCTGGGGCCAGGAGGAACAAGTCAAAGCCGGGTACTTTGAAGTAATCTGCAACCCATTTGAAGGCCATTACTGTCAGTCTTTGCTAGACTAAACTAGCCCAGCTCTTTCGAACTTTCTTCATGGGTCATGTTTGCTGGGCTATCTTGCTTGATCTCTGGACTCTCTTGAGTTGATCCGTGTTTTTCTGGAGGTGTGGTGCCTCGGACCGGACAGGGTACTCCAGCTGAGGCCCAACCCATGTTGTAATGTGCACTCAGAGACTATTGGTACCCCGTAGCATCGTCATAGATCAAATCCCAAACCTGATGCTGCCTTTATAGAGAAGTATATCCTAAATAGCACGGCTTGTCACTCACAGGCGTGTGGAAGAGCTGACCACTCCTGCATTCGCACACCTATGGCGTTCAGAAAGGCCCCGTGATACAGCCCCCGATAAGCGAGCAATGGAGGGATATTGCAGCAATCGGCTCTAGGCTTGGCTGTGGGAACTCCTAACACCTAACGCACATGTAATCTCTGCTTATCACATATCTACTATGACTTCCTATTAACACCAGAAACCAACTCTCTTCTCTTTTCCTATTCACAAGTTCCATGTTCTGCTTCCTAAAAGATTAACCAAGTTTATTAGATGCAATATCTATGAGTCTGCTTGACTTCCTCTCTATCCATTCGATCCACATTAGTTAATTTAACCGTCATAAATACTAGTGAGGGGTGCATTCCCAGGTAGGGCAGACTGCAGGTACTTTCTTCTGCTGGTTATCAGCTCTCTGCTGTGAAGGCTAGGGAGCAATGCATGGACAAGACAAGAGTAGAAAAAGAAGCTGAGATGCTCCATCAGGATTTGTTAGGATTTTCTTTGATATTGGCTAAACTCCAAAGATGGGCCTTTTTAAATGAACTCATCATTTGATTTTGACTGTGGCCCTCTACACGCAAGACACCAGCAATCGCACCATGCCTCTGATTCCAGTGAAGTTGCACGCAGAGTAAATTTGT